AGAGTATTTTGAGTCTCTTTTGCACTTATAAGAAAAAAAGTGAGCTGGTATCGCCGGCAATACCGCCGACCCCAGAGGGTTAAAGCTCTGTAATCAATACAGAAACGTATGGTACCATCCTTCTTGGGGACAAGAACTATGGGAGCTGCCAATGGGGAAGTTGATGGTCTGATTATCCCTTTTTACAACATGTTGAAAACTTCCTGATTAATAAATTTCTGTTTGGACAACAGGGTAAGCTTGATTAAAACCGGAATATCATCTGAGGTGTTAATCTGGTGCTGGATCACAGCAGTGCGTCCAAAAGAATAGGTGCGGACTGTTGGCCGATCAAGCATGATTGCTTCTAACTGACGTTTCTGGGTTCTGGGAACATCCGCTCGACTTGCCAGTTATTTAATGGTTGCCAAGTTGGAGGAAGATACTTGAACTAAATGTAATGCCAGATGTAGACTAATTGCTGCTGAAGAAGCATACAGCATAAATGGATCTTCAAGGGCACATCCTTGAAATCAATCTGGATCCCTGAATCCATCAAAAACTCCTGACCAAGTTTATTGGGTAAAGTTAGATCTTGATCTTTCATCACAAAGGCTCTGAATGGATATTGTTGTCCATGAAGTGTACAATTCCAGACTACCTTTCCTAGAGCTGTCTGTACATGACCATTGGCAAGAGAGAAAGTCTGACCTCTGCTGGACTGCCAAATTTCAGTGATTGACTTAAACTTTTTCCAGTAAGATTCCTGAATTAAAGAATTGGTGCTTCCAGTGTCCAAAACTGCTTGACATCTATAGTCATTGATGGTGATTGGCAGGGATAATGGGTCAAGCTGTCTCTCCATAATTCCTGACAGCACAGCAATGTGACTGTTGCCCTTGTGCTGCTTTATTAGCTCAATTTGACTTCGCCTGATGCTCTGCTTGCCTCCAATAGGCTCTTTCCTCACTAACATCCCTTTCCACCAGGGTAACAACACGTACCAACTCGTCAACCGTAGAGACAGTGCTTCTGAGTATGCTGGCGACACGATTTCAGTTTCTGAGTGTACCTTGGAATATTTCACGTTCTGACATTGAAGGTTTCAATCGCAGGCATAAGGCTCGATATTGATAAGCAAATGTTCGAATATTTTCATCAAGTCCTTGTTTCCATTCTCTAATTCTTCTTTCAACCCCAACTTCATGGTCATCAGGCAGGAAAGATTGAAATTTACATCAAGTTCTTACCCTCTTCTTCTCCGCAAGCCACCAGTCCTTAGCTGTATGAGTTAAAACAGAAGGCAACATGGCTAATATCTCAGAATCGTTCAGTGTTTGAATTGAATATTTTTCAAGATAAGAAATAGAGTCTTCTCCCTCCAATCTGCCAAACCTGGGTAACTCCAGCTTTATTTTTTGTTTTTGTTTTTAAATGTATAGGATAGGTTGGACTATCTGTTTGTAGGGGTGGACTGAAGTGGGGAGAAGATGTTACAGTGTAGGAAGACTGGATTAAAGATTTCAGCTAAACATCCCTTTGTGCTATACAATCCTTCATTGCTTGTCCTACTTGCTGTATGCTCTTCTAAGGTTTCTTTTACCTGCTGGCATTCAGACTTGAGCTCAGTGGGTAGTACCTTCTCCAGTTGCTGTATCCGTTTATGATGGTGCTTTTGCTGGGATGAAAGGTTCTGCATCTGCTCTTCCATTACATTCAACCTGTGATTTTGCCTATCTATATCATGCTGCACATCATTAGAAAACACACGAAAAGATTTCTCCAGTTCATCCATTTTAAATTATATCTTGCTCACCCTTAATTTCAAACTGTAAGTGGTTACATCTTCCTCTTAAAGAGGTGGAGGAGGTGGTAACAGCAAGTACTGAGAACTGTCATCGTGCTCCACCTCATCTACCTCATTCTCTAAATACAAAAAAAGGAGAGATTGAATAAGGTCTTGAACTGGTTCTCATCTGGTGGTGAAAGGTGCAGTGGAATAGTCTGGTTCTGTGGGATTCTCACCCTCTGTCTCGTCACGCTAGTGAATTAACTGGTATTTGTGCCATTATTTAACAAAAAAGCAGGTAGCACTTTATTTTCCAGTCCTGTTCGCCATGTACATACTATGTACTTATTATAGTAATTACAACAACAGGGTAATAACTAGGTACTAACCCTGAACCTACCCCTAAACCTAACCTTAACCCATGTATTTACCTTATATTACTCAGTACTTTCCTAGGTAAGTACACTGTAAGTAAACGTAAGTGCACATACTGTAAAATAAAGTGAAAATAAAAACCATGTCTCCTGTCACACAGCAGATTCACTGGCCAACCCGAAACCAGCTGCTTTGGTTGTGCCTCTATCTTCTTATTTAGTCTTAACACCATTGCAGAAAGAAGGTTGAAGATGATAAGTTATGAGAACATGCAAGGGGTCTATTGCAGAATCTGAAATTCTGGTAACACTTTATTTTAAGGTGCTTGTAATAAGCAGTAATTAACAGTTAATAAGACACATATAAGACCTTATAAGATGCATATAAGATGCATATAAGATGCATATAAGCATTAACTACTTCATATAAGGGTTAATTAAAGGTCCAGGCCCTGAAGAGATCAGGGAAACTACTCCCTCTTGGGAAGGTCAATTTTTAAGTGACTGGGAGTTTGTGTTACCATTTATGTTTGTTCGGCTGTTCTAAAAGTGCAATGTATTGATACTTGAGAAATGTATTATTTAATTTAATTTATTTATTATCATTCAATTCAATTCAATTCAGGCCCTTAGCGTCGAGAACGACGATTGGTATGGCGCTTCAGTCTTCTACTGTCGAGGAAGTCTTTGTACTGCTGGCAAGATCTTTTGGCACCAGATCTTATGGAGGTGTGCCACATTGCTCGGTCACCAGCAAGCGTTTCCCAGTTTTCGCTTGGAAGGCCGAACGACTGAAGGTCACGCTTCAGGACATCCTTGTAGCGGAGCTTCGGCCGGCCGACTGGGCGAGGGGCATCAGCAATTTCGCCATACAAAATTGCTTTCGGTAACCGGTTTTCTTCCATGCGGTAAGTGTGGCCAGCCCAGCGTAAGCGACGGGTGCGCAACATAGTGTAGAGGTCTGTGCTCTTGGTCGTGGAAAGGATAACCGAATTTGGAACAAGATCCTTCCAAGTTATGCCTATAATTGAGCGAAGACAGCGAAAGTGAAAGGTGTTTAGACGATGTTCATGTCTGCGGTAGGTGCACCAAGTTTCACTGCCGTACAGGAGAGTGCTGAGAATACAGGCCTCATAAACTTGGACTTTTAGGTGGAGAGACAGAGAATTGTTCTTCCATACTCTCTCGCTAAGCCTGCCGAAGGTTGTTGATGCTTTCCCAATATCCCAATAAGGTCTTATAAGTGTCTTATTAACTGTTAATTACTGCTTATTACAAGCACCTTAAAATAAAGTGTTACCGAAATTCTTACTTAAAGGCATAGATCAAAGATAATAAGTGTGTCTTTATCTCAACAGCAGCCAATTATAGCAAGCTTGTGGATCTTAGAGGCTTCTGGGTACTTCCAGAACATTTTTATACAGCTACATTTTTGGTTTGTAGCACTACAGTACATACTGTATAGAATACGTAACTTATACATGTTTTTGTTTACCCAAACATCTGGAAAAGTTTTTGTTGTGGACCATAAAAAACTTGTCTATGTACTGTAACTTAGATTATATGATAAACGTTCCCATTGTCCTCGGTCCAACAGATATTGTGTAATTTAATAATAATTAAACTTTCAGAGCAGCAGTTCTACTTTTTGAAGTGGAGTGATTCCTAAGTCATATTTGGAAATGCACTATTTTTGCATACACTTTAACCTTAAAGGAACACTCCGACTTTTTGGGACTTTAGCCTATTCACCTTATCCCCCAGAGTTAGATAAGTCCATACATACCTTTTTCATCTCCGTGCGTGCTATAAGTCTGTTTGACGCACCCACCGCTAGCCTAGCTTAGCACAAAGACTGGATGTAAATGGTTGCAGCTAGCATACTAATCCAAATAAGTGACAAAATAACGCAAACATTTTCCTATTTACATGTTGTGATTTGTATAGTCACAGAGTGTACAAAAAACAAAGTCACATGAGACACAGACATATTTTAACCGTATAAATACTGGGAACTATATTCTCTGAAGGCGAAGCACTGCTACTTGGGCGGAGTGATAACCGGAGCACCTGAGACACGCCATGGTGAGGAGCAGAGAGCGCGTCTCAGGTGCTGCGGTTATCACTCCGCCCAAGTAGCAGTGCTTCGCCTTCAGAGAATATAGTTCTCGTACGGCACGCACGGAGATGAAAAAGGTATGTATGGACTTCTCTAACTCTGGGGGATAAGGTGAATAGGCTAAAGTCCCAAAAAGTCGGAGTGTTCCTTTAAAATTAACCTTGATGATTATTGCTGTGTAATTTGAGTATCGTTTCATGCTCTGTATAATCTGACTGATTATGATGTCATCTTCTCACTATTAGAAAATTATGTCTCATACAAAATACAAAGTGCTGCTGCATGGCTGTGATGATTCATCTTGCATACCAGACCCAATTGTGTCTATGATTAAGACGCATACATTTCTCCATGCAGCCTCGCAACCAATTATCTTCTCTCTTAAATGAGCCCATAAAGGAACACAGCTTCACACATTCACAGGGACAAAGGGAAATAAAGGACGGTACTATGTCTTCCTCTGTGGCACATTTGACAATCAAATCTTTCTGAATTCAATTCAACGACAATGAAAACATTTTAGTTTTCTCCTATGGGATATGTGCTACCAATTACAGTACATGTAACTTTACCTGGTTGAAGTATAATACATTATATAAAAGCAATAAATCTGAAGGACAAACAAATATTGACAGAAGTGAATATGAAACTTTAATTGGTCTTCGACAAATGACCCAGATATGGACTAATTTTGACCCCCAAAAAAAAAAAATGAAGCAATGGAAATGAACAAACATACCATATCGGTGTCTGATACTGGTCCGAAGCTTGTCACATAGATGTTTGTCCTCACTTCAGTCACACTTTCTGAAAGAGCAAGCGTAAGAACATAAATATCTACAATGTAAAATAAATATTTAATAAATTTTGAAGCTATTATTGGTTACACTTTGCTTCAATAGTCCACTTTAGACATTCTACTAACTATAAGTAACTTTGGAACAACATGTCAGCTAACTCTCATCAATTTGCAACTACATGTCAACTAACTTTCATTAGAGTATTAGTAGACTGTTAGGGTGTGGGTTAGTAGAATAAGTTGACGTACTTGCCAAGTTACTTATAGTCAGTAGAATGTATGTTGGGGAAGAAACAAAATAGTTTTAGTAGATATCAGACAGTCTACTAATACTCTAATGACTGCCAGTTGACATGTATCTATAAATGATCTATAAAGACAACAATTCACCTCTAATTGCCAGTAAAATAATACATAATGCACAGGGGACCATCATTGTCAGACAGCTGTAAAATGTATGACCTTGTGTATTAGGGGTGAAAAAAAAAAATCGATATTGCAATATATTGTTGTGCTCTCTGTCGCAATAAATAATCGATACACTAACGCCCAATATCGATATTTTATTACAACACAAAATGATTAATTTACCCGTTGTCAGTGTCACTGTCACTACCCAATATCTACCATTCTGTTTGCGGGGGGCGCTGTTCGAGTAAATAGGGGTAAAGTGGCGCAAACAGCGGCCGGTGAATAACACAAGTTAACTAACAACAACAGAGGCAGAAAAAAAGAGAAGCGAGAAGAATGGCGGAAAACAATAAAAACTAATCAAAGACCCACCCGCTAGTTTCCACTCTAAAGTGTGGAGACACTTCGGGTTTTACGAGACAGTCGACGGAAAGGCACTGGATAAAGACTATGCAATCTGCAAGAATTGCACCTCGTTCGCTATCACGGTGAACTACTCTCAGGTGATGTTAATGTTCATGTTGTTTTGTAATGTTCATGCACTTGTATCTGTCTAGATGTACAGTGTTTACATTTAAGACCAGGAGGCAGTGAGTTATTATGCAAATGCATATTTCTTTGCACAATGTTGGAAATGTTGGCATTAATAAATGCATAAAATTTCCTTATTCCTTCTTTTTCTTTTCAGTCACATATATCGTGATATATCGTTGATGAAATTTCTTCCAATATATTGAATATCGTAGATATCGTGAATCGTGATATTATCATATCGTGGACCACATATCGCCACAGAATTGAATTGTGAGGTACCTGTATCGTCCCACCCCTATTGTGTATTTTTATCAGTAGATTTGTTTCCATTTCTTGCATGCACATGCCTCAAAAAGGGTCTGGATCATTATAGTCCACTAGTTGACTGTTCAGCAACCAAGCCGATTAGTAAGATTTATTTAGATATTTTTGTTTTGTTTTGTTTTATTATTATAGCATGAACAACAACAACAAAAAAAATAAAAAAAAATAAAAAATAAACAGCAATAAACAATCATGAATCATCCAGTTAATGACAGAATAATAGAATCAAGCATATGTAAACTTTTGAAGGGGGAATTTGTCATTTGTACAGTATTTTCAGTTTGTATGTATATATCATTTGTATATGTGTCTTGTGGCTTATATGTAAACACCTGTTGTGAAATAGCTTATTCTGGGCAGTACTAAATAAAAAACAACATGCAATTTTTATGGTCCATCTTATTTTTGTTAAGATTAGGGATGCACCAATTCCACTTTTTCCAGAACGAGTCGATACTTTTATTTTTAGTACTTGGCAATACTGAGTACTGAAACCTGTATTTTCATTGCATTTTTAATTTTCTAAAATATTGGGCAGAGAAACCAAAAGAATATAAATTAAATTAGTTGGCTTAGCCAATAGACATTTCATTCAGTTATTTTCTTGCCTAGTTATGCCTATTACAATGTATTGTATGAGCTACTGTTACTTTCACTTTCACTGTTCATATTATTACTCTATCATATTTTATCTTTAATTTAATAGCACAGTGAATATTTAGAGCTGCTCCAGCAGGGCCCAACCAGTCAAGAGCAGTAAGTGATTTTCTCTGTCTTTTGTTGTTAGATTAACATTGAGGATAAAGACAGCAGTACTGTAGGTTTTTAGTCTGCTGTCACTTTAAGAGCTGAACGTATCCAACATACTATTACACAAAAGCTTTCTTTTCAACTGTTCAAACTATACGTTCACTTGAGACATAACCGACTATGTTTCACAAGGATACTTGCCTATACGGGCATTTTGACATACTTTTGTGTGAATTTGTCCGTTAGAGCACAAGAAGACATGAAATAGAACTCAATTTAATAAGCTATTCGCACGCTGTCGGAGAGTCAACATTCTAGGCGCGTGCTTCGGATGTTTGCGCACAGAAAATAAAATGTCATGTGATTACTGTACCGCCTTCCTGCAATAATGTAGGGAACCACTCGTTATGCATCATGTAACAGTTCATGTTTTTACTTGCACATACAATTTATTTTTAATTCAAATGATGCATGTGTGCTGAGTGAACAATAAACAACCACAAGCATGCAACAGAAGTGCTCTCTATCTCTCTCTCTCTCTGCTGGGAGTGTTTGGGTGCGTGTGAGAGTGTTCAAGAGAAGAGGGTGAATGAAAGTGTTTTTTTCTACTGTTATTCTTTTTTCTTTCTTCTATCTTTTGGGGATTATTTAAACGTGAGAACCTAGGAAGAAAAGTGTTTGAAATTATTTGGCCCATCGTAAGGAGGATTGTTGACGGAGTTGAGATGGCATCTCGGCCATCATGGCGTCATGGCGTCAGGTGTGAGGTTGAATCGAGTGTGGAGTTTTAGTATCAATTGGAGAACAAGTTGGATATGAGAACATCTCTTCGGCGTCAAGAATGAACAAAGCTGTGGTGTTTTTCTTAAAGGAGGAGAATTTGGTTAACCGTCTAGTAAGCAGTGGGATTTCGGTAAGTGGACTTTTTGTTGCTGTTTCACCGCTAGTTAACCCGACCAGAAAAGTAATAATTTCAAATGTGCTCCCACTCATCCCTGATGATAAAATTGAGCATGCACTTTTATGGTATGGAAAGTTTGCTAGTACGCTAAAAACGATTCCACTCGGATGCAAAAATACGGCTTTAAAACATGTAATGTCGTTTAGGAGACAGGTGGCAATGTTTCTGAAACAACCTGAATTGGATGTGTCTTTCAAAGTTTCATATGAAGGGAATATGTGACCCGTCACAGAAACCAGGGACACAAGTCGGCAGCACAACTTTCGAGCAAAATGAGAAAGAAGAGGTTTTTTTTTTCAAAATTGGTGAATTTCAATTTTTTGCAGAATCTGTTAATTGAAATCATGAAGAAGCCTCTCCATGTTTGAGATAGCAATATTGGTATATTTAAAAGCTTAAATTTTGAGGTTGAAATCAGCTTGTTTTCGGAGATTCTAGCACGCAGTAGGGGCGTGGCGTGTCATTGTCTGTGTGTATTTCCATACTGAATAACCCGCCGCTTTTGCCCCCGCCCTCCAAGTGAACCGCATGGCTACTTATTATGCTGAGCTCTGGCCAGCTCTATCTGATATCAAAATTCAATGAAGATGGACGCCGCAAAGATTGTCGCAGACGAGCTGAACCGCGGCAGTTACACCGAAAATGTTTTTGCATTTGCCTCCTGCATAAACTTTAATATTGTTGACATTTTGGGCACACGCGCGTTGCGCACTATTTGCGTTATATGTAGGCCTATGGCTTATTGGTCTTTGTGTGTTGTTGCTGGTTTTGCGTTATATGTATATGGCATATTGGTCTTTGTGTGTTGTTGCTGGTTTTGGGTTATATGTAGGCTATATGGCATATTGGTCTTTGTGTGTTGTTGCTGGTACGTTGCAAAAAGAGGGGCAGCACAATTGTTTTTCGCCTAGAGCGGCAGAGATGCAAGTCAAGTCAAGTCAAGTCATTTTCATTTATATAGCGCTTTTAACAATGGAGATTGTTTCAAAGCAGCTTTACAGAGATAAACATACAATTTACGGTAACAGAGATTGTTTTGGCTTTATAGCGATTTTGAATAATGTTATTTCCGGCTAAAGTTGGTTTTGATTGATTCACTTCCAGCAAAATTATCATTTGTTATTACATTGGGGGCCACTAAGACGACGGCGTTCTCTCTAAAAAGACTTTAAACGCGAACCTGTGACCTGATGGCGTTCACATGCGCATTAAAAATTGATTCTATAGTTATATTCGTTTGAATATGTGTGCGCAGGTGCACTCATTCGAAGTGCGAAAAAAGCTGTAAAGCACAGGGGGGAGTTTTACAGGGGTATGGATTACCTAAATTAGATGTAAATAAGCCCTATTGTCACTCCCAGCAGCAGAGACAGGTGAGAACTGCACAATCTTTAGAGGTCGTTTTCTCATCTTTGAGCTTTTTTAAGTGCCTACCTTCAAATGGCCACAACTTCTCCAAATATTATCAGATTTCCACATGTTACACATCGTTGGAAAGCTTGGAGACTACACTTTCAGAATCTATGAATAACTCAAAATGCCCCAGAACCGACTTGTGTCCCTAGTTTCCGTGACCGGTCACATATGTCACCGGTGCGGGCCCGGATGACCAGCCGCCCCTGACTTGCACACCACCGTGAGGAGCCGACACCACGGGTACGCAACAGATAGATGACGAGACCAGAGGTAATTTCAAAGGAATAACAATCTTTATTGAACACAATATATCAATAAGCATTGACGTGATAGACCTCTGTGTCTTCCAGGTCTTCTTCAGCTACGGGTAGATACTGATTAATTGTCACAGTTTCGCCCTGACGGCGACTTCACGCATAATACGGCTCCCTTCAGGACTCAGACGGTAAGTAGGAAGGTAAGGATTCTTCTCAGTACAGGATACTTTCGTTGGTGCACAGTAGTGGGACAGTGGGTTGGAAGCTTACTTCACCAGCGATGCTGCACACTTCCAGTCTCAGATTCACCAGCGATGCTGCATACTTCCAGACTCAGACGGTAAGTAAAAAGGTA